CAACTAAAACATCAACTGTAGCTACATTTGAACCTTTAACATCATCAAAAATTTCAACAACACATGAATATACATTTAGTGACATTACACATCCTGATAGAAGTCACGAGACTAATTCTACACTTCCTGATAGAAGTCACGAGACTAATTCTAATCATAAATATTCAGCACATTTGTTGGATAATGGAAAACTAAACATTCATTCGGCATACACAGATGATACAACATGTTTTGATGGAAATGATGAATATTTAGAGCCGTTGAAAATTGAAAATAAAAGAAACCACTTATTACCAAGTAAAACTTCGAAGGAATCCAACATGAATATTGAAAATTATGTGGAAGCCAGAGACAAACAAAATACTTCTAGAAATAAACAAAGTGAATCTGAGTATTCCAATACAAAGATTAATGTATTAACGAACAGCAGAACGGGTTTATATAAAAGACATAAATGCATAACTGATGTATTTGATATGGAGTTTATTAATAAACCCACATTAGTGCCATATGACTGCACCGAAGATGATGATTATGAAGATAATTATTTTGCTAGCACTATACTTAGTTCAGACGATAGTGAGATATCTGTTAGTGAAGAGGGGATGAACAAGAACATGAGCAGTGCATTATCGAAGGAGACTTTGAATCAAAGTTATAGAAGGACTGAAAACAGCTTAAGCAAGAGAAGCACTAGCAGTAGATCTAATGAAAACTTACACAATTTAAGTGCTCAAAAGCCAAAGAATGTTCGTAGTTCAGATGAAAGTCGAATATGCATTTCAGAAAAACTAACCTCGGCATTAACCAGTGAAAAATCAACAAATTCATGGAAGTCTGTTCCATCCAAAAACCATTCCATATTAAATGAAAGTCAACAGAACTTAAATGATTTAGGTCCCGAAAATGCGGTCAGCTGTTTGAATGAGACACAAACAGCTATTAGTACACAAGATCTCGAAAAGGTTGCAAGCGAATGTCACATTGATCTGAACGAAAGTTTGCAGAGCTCCAATACATTGATAGCAGAGAACACATCAAGCAATACTATGTTTAACGATGTATTAAGCAAATATTTTCAGGATGAATCAAGTGATTCTGAAACTAATTATTTAAACACAAATAATTGTGAGAGAGATAATCACTCACTTGAGCTAGCAACGAAGCAGTTAGCATCATCTCAGCAAGAAAATGCGCTTAAGAGTTCCGAGCCTACAACAGATTTTCTTACTGACAGCAGTACTGAGCAATATCGCGCTGCATTCAATTACAAATTAGAAGGTACCATTACAGAACAATACCCTGATTCTTATATTGATGACGGTTTACCAAATGATCCACAAAAAATAGTTGAGAAATTAAAAAGCTATATAATCAAAGCACTAGGAGAAGAAGAAGCTAGTAGCTTCTTCAAAACAACTTCAGAGCAGTATGATTCTGATTTTAGTGACGATTATCTTACCTATAATTATGACTACAAGTCCAGAAAACAGAAACAAACATTTAAACGATTTGGCAGGCATGAGTTAAATGCGAAAATATCCGATAAAGGTTCCGACGGTACAGCGCAGTCAACAATAGTAAGCACACCATCTTTAAGCCAATCACAGAATTGTGTAAGTAGTAATGTAGACGAAAAAGGAACAGAAAAGACTTCAGTTCTTCAATTTAAACAACATGGCAAAAATCCTGATTTAAGAAATACTTCGTCTAATAATAATAGCCTTAAAGCAGATAGCAATCAGCATTTAACTAAGCAATCAATGAAAACTTCGTCAAAGTGTGGTATTCAAAAAGGCAAATCTCAAAGTAAAACTAATAAATCAGCCGTGACGAAACCACCATTTCGCACTTCATATAAATATTGATCCTCTCTAGGAGTGGTACTGATTTTTAATATCATTTCCACAGTACGGTTTGAGATAACGTTTGTTTGGCATTACCTATTTTGATGTACAAAACAATATTTATATTTTATTAATAATCACAATGCTTTTCTAAATATGAGCATATATTTATAAAATTTTTAAGTAACAAATAAAGTAAAATTTGTTTTAAAACGCAATAAGTCAACATATTTAAAAATATTTATAATAATTGCTCAAAAGTATCATCAAGCCTATCAGCATTAAAAAATAATAATTCTTCTAATAATTCAGTCTCTTCTTTGCGCAAGAAGTGCATAAGAGTACTTCTGGATAGGATACATGACATACAGCCTCAGAGCAAATCCGTATTTTAAGATGTATTTCTAAATAGTTTTTCGTGTTAAAAAAATGTTTTTGTATGAAATAAAGCACAAAAAGATCATTCGTGGTCTCAATGTTCCGGTCTATGAGGTCCTGTACTCCCTTGACTTTTGTATTGATCCAAACATTTTATTAAATATTCCTAATTAAGAGCCTAATGGAATCTATAATTATTTATGTGTATTACTGAGTACCCCCCAATTTCTTTTATTATAGTTTTTTCTGTAATACTACAAAATGTTCTCACTGCACAGAAGAAAAACTTTTGAAATTTAAGCAAAATAAATGAAAATATTCCAAATACTGGTATTATAGGTGTCTGTTCTAAGCTTCACTGCTTCAATCATTTTAATTTTATCTTCGTAGATTGTTGTAAAAGTATCTATGAAAAAAACGCTGAGCTTTGTTCTTCATGTTCAGAGCACACGTTGGATACTATTTATTATCACAACTATATTATATTTCGACAATAGCGGCTATAGTACTGGTCTTATGTTGAGGCTTTTCCTAGTTAATACAACTGCACACTTTTACTCTTTCTTAGCTGGAGGGTTTCTACATAGTCACTCCCTTTTCTTTGACTTATTTCTCTATTACTCACCCGCTTCGTTGATTATTTGATGATCTAAGATCTGTATACCGCTCCGATAGTGCTATGTATGGCAGCCTGTTAGTTATCGTGTACAGCTTTACGATTCTATAGCCTATGTATTTTTTGACCGCATCTATTGTGAGGTCTCTTAGCATGTAATTCGTGCGGATGTACCATGGCACTTTGAAGAGTCAGCGGAGAGGAATTTATGGCTTCAAGATAATAGAGTTGGCAGCTTTGTTATACGCAAAACACCCGCAGACCTTTGCCGGTCTGATTATTTCGCTGTAGATCAATTTTGTGTTCTTAGCGTTAAGGTTATTGTGTTTAAAAAGTGGACGTAAGCAATGCAGTGTTTTCGCACAACTACTTCTTTTGTCTTGTAAATCTACTCTTGAGTCTTAAAATGAAATCAATTTATTCATACTCACAAGGTTTCGAGCTCAACCTACCGACTACATTCATATTAACCCCGTGCATTGAAGTCTCTGTATGTCTTTCTTGCTGGTACTGTCATAACTTTTATTGAACTATAAAGTTAATTATTCAAATAAAATCCACTTATTTGAGTGCTGGTACTGATGCAACCGCCATTGCACTGCAAAGTTACTTATTCATACTAATTCCACTAGTTGGATACTTTTTCCATCTTGTTAGTACTTGCAACCTTCCATCTTGCAACCTTCATGCAACTGCAGAGTAACTTATTCATACTAATTCCACTTGTTGGTGTCTTCCTCCATCTTACTGGTACTGATGCAACTTTCATGCAATGTTATTTATTTCTTCACTATCGACTTCCTTTTCACCATTTGAGTTCTTGTGTACTGGTTAAAGTCAAGTCCATATGTGCGTCATATTAAGCTTACTTCTGGAATGCAAGTACACAAAAGAAAATAATTGTGTTATTGAAAAAAATATAATTAAATAAATATTTAATAATTAATTCGTTATAAAAGTACGCATGTGTATGGTATTTGAGCTCCAGCAATGCCGAGTCTGACTTTTTTTTTTATAAATATAAACCGATTTATTTCCCGTTAGTAATAAACCAATAACTTTTGGTTTGGAATGGAAATCAATTTCACAAATATATATTATCTGAGTGCATATGAAAAGTATTGTAATTACAAATAAACTTAAGCAAAGATATTTTTAATTAATGCAAATATTAAAATTGTTTGAATGTCTTTAATCGTTCGATCGAATTGTTCGACCTCATCCGACTAAAGCAAATAATTTATTTATTAAAAATCGACGAAAAATGAAAGCAAAAATTTTTAATTTAAAAGATATATGAAAAAATTGGTGCGGTGGCTGCGCATTCCACAAACTACCAAAATAAATAATAATAACGACGACAACGCGATTTAATGGATTTCAAATGGAACCAAAATGGAAACCAAATTACTTAAAAAAATGAGAAAATGCGAAAACAAGCATTTTACGTGAATTACATGCCTCGAATTGTAGGATTCATTAATAATCCGCGAAGCAAGCAGCTCAAAAGGAACGATTTTGTATGTGATGAAAAAAAATTATCGAATTGGAAAAATTTCCAATTACAATTACAATATTTTCTTACTGACGTATTATATTATGGATGTGTGATGTGTGATTTACCCATACACTCACTCGGGTTTTGTATGTGTAGGAACTTGCATGCACGGCATGGAGGACGCCTTGCCGTCTGACAAAGTCAGCGGATGTATCGATGAAATACGTGCTTCATTTTTCAATATTTTTAAGAGCAAATGGGATTTGCATGTAAATAATTGCAAAAAAGCAAAAGAACCAAAATAAAAATTAAACAAAAAACAAAAAACAAAGAACAAAGCAACAAAAAAAAAGTACATGCCAAAGTAATGAAAAAGCAGAATAAATAAGCAACAGAAGTTTTTTTTTTGTTTTTTAAACAAAATCGAAAACGAATCGCTTATGTTCATTAAGGACATTTATCTCCTCTCCTCTCCTCTCCTCTCCATACTGTGTATAGAAGCAAAAACTCGCTTTTGACTTTTCAACCAAAAAAAAAGAGAGGAAAATTAAATATTGTTGTTGTTGTTGCAAAAATGTTTTATTATTATTATTAACATATCTTTTCCATTTGCTTTTACTTTTGATTAAACCAAACCTTTTTTTCTTTATTATTATTACAGGTGACAAGTTTTACCACAAAAAAAGGTACAATTCCTATGCCATCCTCTAGTGGTGTCTCATTGCAGCTGCATCAACAACGTCAAATAGCTACGATAGAAACACCACCAGCTAGTGCCGGCATGCCAATGCAGATACCGACTGTTACCTGCGACTTGGCATCTGATATATCAACATCAGAAGCAGGCGAAGCTGATCCACATCCTTTAGTCTATTCGAATGGTAATTCGGGTGTGCCAACATCAAATGCAGTGGGGATGCTGTCAACAGAAACGCCCAATTGTAATAAGGAAACACTTAAGGTCAGTACTATAGCAAGTGTGCGTGGTGCATTAAATGTGCCAGTGCCGCCATCTATGGCAGTTGAAGCTGCAACAGCAGCAACTGGCGCTTTAACAACAAACAACAATAACAACGGTAGTCCAGCGACAACAATTACGTCTGGTCTGGCGCCGACATCAGCGACGACAACGTCGCTCTCACCGAATGAGTTACGTGTCTCACCGATTGCAGGTCGTTGTCGTGCCCTCTCAGTGGGCATTGATACTGACATGGTCAGCGAATTCGATCCATCCAGTTCGGATTCAGGTGTGGTCAGTCGCTGTGCAGTGGTTAAACCACTGAAATTTAGACTGTGCCAACCGATATTCGGTCGCAAATCAAATCAACAACGACGCAATGAAGCGAAAACAGCAGCCACTGTTAAAACGCTTAAACCCTCCGAAATAACTAAAACCGAACTTGAACCCGCCATACCGAAAGTTCAAAAGCCACGTGATCCTGAAAAGGAGAAACGACGTATTGCGCGTAAAAAAGAAAAGCGTGCCACACTTATTTTAGGTCTGATAATGGGTAGCTTTATAGCCTGTTGGCTTCCATTTTTCTTCTTGTACATATTAATGCCAGCCTGTACTAGTCATTGTAATATACCCGAGTCGGCATTTGCTATTGCATTCTGGTTGGGCTATATGAATTCCGCCTTGAATCCGGCCATTTATACTATATTCAATAAGGACTTTCGGCGCGCTTTTCGGCGTATACTTTTCAAGTGATGTTTGGCTTATGTGTGCTGTTATCGGTGCGTTCATGCGAGCATTGAGAAGGCAACGGAACGTGCCATGGGCAGCACACCCATGGGTTACGGCATGTATCATTACAGGCGATAGATTTGGTTATTTGCAGTTAATTGCAGTGCTTAGCAGTGCAACGAATCTTTCAACTCCTTTTTTTAGACTTCTTGAATTTTGAGAAAATTTATATTATTCCATCACTTATTGATAGTACGTACTTATACCTATATAGCAATGACATTGTACATATAATAGATAGTACTGTATTGTAGGCATTGTAGGCTTAAAATGATTTAAATATATTTTAGTTATGATATTATTTTAATTATTGCATTAATTTAGAAAATGCTTTTATTTTTAAAAGTACTTTTTAATTTTTTTAATTATTTTAGAAAAAAATTGAAGCTCATTTAAAAAGCAAAAAATGGCTGTGAATTTGGTGAGTTGCTTTTACTTTTTTTTTGTTTTTTGCTTTTTGGTTTAATGGTAATTGCTGTTTGGTTACTATTGGTATATATCAAATTAAATTATTTGTATTTATGATATTATTTCTACAAAATATATATTATAATTTTCAATACAAAGCTTACAATTCACAAGTATGGAATTAACATATAACTTCTGAGAAATATGAACCAAGACCAGGACTTCTAATCTATAAACCAGAAAATTACTTATTTCTCCATAAAATGGTTTTATTTTTTTAAAAACGATGTGAAGCGAGATATAGGTATAGAATATTTGAAGATACTCGATTTTATAACTTAATTTATTTGTTTTTAATTTAAACTTAAACATAAAAAGCTTATGCAAAGTAATGCAATTCTTGTTAAAAAGAATTATATCTGCATATATGTCTACATATATATTTACATATATCTACATCTGTCGCTGTGATCTGGCAACACTGAACTTTTATGTGTCATTTTGAACAGAGAAAAATATATTATAGTTAATTTATTTTATTAAATAATTAATTTTAACATAAATTGTAACTTAACGTCAGTTATGACGGAAGTGACTATATATTTAATAGAATCCTCTCTACTAAATAATTATTTATAAAGAGAAACAACTATTGGGATTTTTACATAACAGTTGATTAAATACAGAATATTAATAAAAGATCTATTTGTATTTACATATAACAACACCTACATAATAGATCGATCACTTCTTATAATAATGCTAATATTTTTTACCATTTTTATATTGAAAATATTTAATATTATTCTCTTGCTTTCATGAGGCTGACTTACTTATTTATATTTATTTATATATGCATTGAATATGAAAGAAACAAAAAAACATTCTTACTAAATGCTTTTCAAGAATTCTAGTTTATAATATATCTCTAATATAATATATCTCTTAGCAGAAGGTGAATTGGGTTTAATACCCGACGTGTCTAGCGTATTCACCTTTTGCTAAGAGTAGAGATATATTAGAGATTATTATCTAGAATTCTGGAAATCTAGAAAAATTTATTTGAAATATCTAAATAAGTTCAGTATACCATAAGTATAACAGTGATGAATTATCGAAAAATTTAGCGATCTCATTAAGATATTCCTTAGAGATATCAATTTGATAATGTAATTGCTAAGTGTGTAGGAACTTTTATAATATTGAATATTGATTTCAACGTCCTGATTGCAACTCTGAAAAAAAAATGAAAGTGCATAATAGATTCTTTTTCACAGTCCAGTAAATGGCCAACGGATTGACAACGCATTAATATTATAGTAGAATTATTATAACAATTTATTTTTTTATTATTTTAATTAATTGAATTTTTGGCTGACCATACAGCTGTTTCGAGTATTGCCGAATACCTTTTATCAGTGGTCTTGGAAAGAATTCTTGTATTTAGTAATTCATAAATAATTTTTTAAGACTACAAGTACCAGGAATCGAACACGTGCCCTACCAAATTTGAAGCTCAGAGTCAGCGCTCCTTAACCAACTAACCCAAAGCCGTACTTGCTTCAATCACTCGTTAATTTTTGCTTAAAAATAAAATTAACAAACTTTTAAAAAATTAAAATATCTAAATTTTATTCATATTAAGTATCCTTAGGGAATATTAAGAATTAAAACTGGAGTAATCCATATGTTTTATTTCCTTTATTTCTGGAGAGTACATAGTATATGGAATTATTGTTCTACCTAAATTTTATTATTGTTTTTTTAAATTATTTTGCATTTTTATTAAAACTTCTAAGAATCAACTTAGAACTAACAATAAGTTATCGTTTGTTGCAGTTGAGGACGAAAGAAAACAAATAATTAATTATCTTTAGCCAAAGCTTCATTTAATCTCGTTTCCATGTTGTGCGTTATTCTTCAATAGCCAGTTTAATATAGTTACTTTTGAGTCGCTGGGTTCAAATGCTTTGGGTGAATATATGCATTTCAATGCGTTGAATTTCTGCTGTATATATAAATTTTGCGTTAATTATATAGTTAGTTAATTAGTTGTTTTATTTGCAATCGATAGAACTTAGTGTTTCTTTTATTTTTGTAAGATTAGAAGAGGAGATAAATTATCAGAAATAATTAGCTTAATAGATAAATGTAAGGAATGGAACTTCCAAAATCGGGGTAATATCGACAAAAACTTAAATTAAAAACTTTTTCGGAAATGTTCTATAGACATTTGGTTTTTTTAAGGTATTCGTATTTCTAAAACACTTCCATTATATCAACACTTAATGCGAAAAAATTCTCTAATCAAGAATTGTCTTATATTATTAATCTAGTTTAGGCAAACCGATTAGTGAGTGATATTTAATAGTCCAGCAGGAATTTCAACTGAAATTTTTCTTCGCAGAAATCTTCGATCACATAAAAACTTGGTGCCAAAAAAAATCATCGACATTCTCTAAGCAAAAATTATATTTTATTGTTAATCTACTTTAGGGAGTAGTGCATATCGATGCGAAATGTTTAATAGTCCAACAGAAACTTCAGTGCAAAATTTTTTTTTTCTGCTAAAATTTAAATACTTAGTCTTAAAAAGTTTACTTTACATAAGCCATTTGCATTCAGCAAAATAAATAAAATATATAGTATTTATAATATTATAAATATATATATATATATATATATGCATAAATCAACACAATGCATTCACAATAAAATGATCAATATTACAGGCAGTAGTATTTACTGTGTGTTTTTATATTGAATTTGTGTCACATTTCAAAATTTCAATTAAACTCAGGCGAATGAATGAGACGATAACGACAATGGCACTGGGAAGCCAGTGAATTGCATGCCCGCAAATGCAACTGCACTGCATTTTCAATAAAAATTGCTGAAATGAGAAAATTTCAATACAAACTGACAAACATGGATTCAGATTCGGATTCGGATTCGCAGAATGTGTTTAAATGTTTTTGTATTTCAATTGTATTTTTGTATTTTGTATTTTGTATCTTAGTATTTTATTTTGAATTATTGTAATGTGCGATGACAGCACAGCACAAGTACGGGTACTAGTACTGGTATGTGTGGTTGCCAATGATGGATGTGTTTACTGCAATGGATATAACACAGAGAGGAACCAAAGTAATAACACAAAAGCGACAACCGCTACAACCCATTTGCTGTCTAAATATACTTAAAAGCCGAGCCGAGTCGAACCAAGCGTGTAGATGGGGGCGCTTGGGCACTGGGCGCTCCATTAAAATTGCAAGCATTGGAAATTGAATGCTGAATGGAAATGTGCACATTAAATTGTAACCACAAATCGAGGCCAATTGAATTGTGCTCACTGCTGCACCAAAATCATTTAGAGCAATTCTTGTTCTTGTTTATTTTTGTGTTTTTGTTTTTTTTTTCAGTTATATATGGTTTTTCGCTTTGTCCATCAACAACTCAACAACAGCCACAAATACAAATAAACATTGAATACAGGATAGAGTACAGAGTATAGAGTATAGAGGACAGAGGACAGAGAACACAGAACAGAAGAGGCTTAGTTTTACTCGAACCAGCAATTCAATTTGAAAAATGAACCTCTCCGGCAAATACTGGCAAATGTGTAGGCCATTTATACGGGCGCACTTAATAGGCAATTTTAAACATTGACATTTCAAGACAATTTAGATAAAAGTGTTGAGATAAATACGTACACAGAGTAACGATAGTAATTAATTAAAATCTCTTTTATAGCTTTGTGCACAAAATTGATTGGTGTTAATAAATGTTAAAGAGATTAAACAGATTAGCTATTATGTACCAAATGATTTCCATTATTTAATGCCAAGTTCGACCCAGTCAAGTTGGACTCAGTCAACTACAAACTATACAAAATCAAACAACAAAAAAAAAATACTGTCATTATTTGGCAACAATAAGAAACGTGATGAATAATGGAATTCTGACTATGAATCTGCAAGTTTTTGTTCTTGTGCATTACCAGGCATGTTAGTCGGATTCATTTACATACTTTGGGGTTTACTTCACTTTTTACTCATAATGTTATGGTAATTATTTACAGCGATTTAAACTTAGCTATAGTTTTTGTTTTTAATGTAAATAAATTTTAATTAATTTCAGTTCATTTGTTTTAAATATCTGGGATTTATGAAGTCGTTAAGTTATTACGGGAAAAGGAAGAAATACTTCATTTGATATATTGAAGCTATTAATAATATGTATAAGTAACGAGAAATAACAAAAACATCATCATATTTAATGTTGCATGCGTATATGAATTTAATATTTCATATTAATAAATATTATATCATTTATGAATTTAAATATGAGTATAGCTTTTTCTCATTTTTTTTTTAACAATAAGTTTTAAAATTTTAAAAACTTATAACATTGCATTACAAATTATGCATACTATTTTATAAAATAATTTGTAAATTATTTTAAGGGATCTCTAAATATATAGCCAGTGTAAATGGGTATTTCTGAGCCTCTGAATAACTAGCCAGTGTAAATGGATATATCTGAGATTATTTTAAGTTATGATGTGAAAAATAAAATAAAATCACTAAAGTAAATTGAAGTTTCACAAAGACGTTCTTTTCAGCTTAAATCTAGTCTATGTACACGGTCGAAAATTTCAG